AGGGAGGGAGGAGAGAGGTGTAAAACAGCCACATCCTGTTCCAGGAAGGTGCCAAGGAGAAACAGGTCTGTGTCTGTGGGTTTGGGTGAAGGGAAGATGATTATGTCAGACCTGTTGCCTGTGGGCACCGCAAGCCAGGCAAGAGCGTAGCAGTGGGTAGTGGGTGACCTGTGCCAGGGAAAGGTTTACAAGTTAAAAGCATGCCTAGAAGAAAGAATGGCACCTTGGTTTATTCCCCCGCCACCACTCTCTGCACCACTGAGAAGGGCACTGGGAGAGAAAGTCACGGACTGAATGTGACTCGGCGAGGTAACACTACAGTACAACACACCGGCACACCATTTGGAGATAACATTACCAAGAGAACTGTACATGACGTACAGGAGGAACTTGGGGGAAGTGACTGTAGCCATCTTCTTGGGACTGATCCAGCACTCATATTAGTCATTCACCCTAGTCTGTTTAATGTTTTACAGTGTTCATTTCCTTTAACTGCTGAAGAACACTGTGGCATACTGTTCCCATTTTACAGAAGTGGCACTGAGACTTTCAAAGGCATCTTTCCTCTAGTTCTACCACCCATTTGGTGGGTCAGGATTCTGCCTTACCTGGACAAGGAGGACTCTGCTCACTGAAAGTGCTTCTGGCCAGCTTGGGGGGACTGTATGCACATCTCATTCAGCAAGTCCCCTCAACTTTGTGTCGAACTTTCAAAGACCAATAGGATTTCTACAGGGATGAATGTGTGAGGAAATGCACTTCCACAAGCCCACTTGTATGCCTATAGCATTATTGTGCTATAATGCACATTTCAAACTGGGTTGGTTAAATCTGGCATCTCTGTGTGTATGTATAGTTTTGAACGCTTAGTGCTTTAGTAAGCTGGCTTTTTGCTAAAAAAAAAAAAGAAAGAAAGAAAAAAGAAAAGAAACTGAAGGCCCAAAGGAAGCCTACTGTGAATACATTGAGCACTTTGGGGGCAGAAAACCTACCGTATGTTGTCTGAGGCCAGTCTGGACAGAAGGAAATGTTAACCAAAATTTGTTTTTGCCAAAAATGGTTACCCCAACTTGTCCTCTCCTTCTTCCTATACCATACACTAATGATGTTGACATGTCCACCCACCCAATTGATCCACATTATGACAACATGGATGTGGAGCTGGTGGCTTTAGAGAAATAGAGATATTGGCCTGCAATTCCCAGTAGTCCTGCAGCACAGTCAGTGGGAGTAATTTTGGGTGTTGCAGTCCAACAATATCTCAAGGGCCACCACTGACCATCCCTGCTTTAGAGAACCACCTATGTTTGGATAGTTTCTACATCTATCCTTGCACCATGCAAACAGGGCCTTTTGAAAAATCATGGTATTGTTACATTAGATTGGATATATACACTATTTAGTGTGACATGAAAGAAATGAAATAGAAATTTCCATATGCCTGCATTCAGCATTCCTAATTGATTTATTACATAAGAAGAAGGTTCCAGTCTTTGTTATAAGCCTTGTGATAATTGTGTGTGTGTGTGTGTGTGTGTGTGTGTGTAACGGCACAAAAAATAAGCAGAATTACAGGCGGTTACCTTGTGGCTGGATTTTGTCCTTTGTTTCAGGTTGACCTGACACGGCAGTGATAGAACAATGGAAATCTTGCACTGTGTTTTGTTATTTTTGTAGCACTTATGTGTATCATATTTTACAATCTTAACTGATTTCATGATTTTGTGACAAAACTATCACTATTGTTCCCATCTGACAGATGAGAAGCTGAGGATAAAGAAACAGTGATGTGTCTGAGATGTTGATGTTGATATATATTGATGTTGAGATCGTTGATATGTTTCAGACATTTTCTGATTGCGTCTTGGGATCTGTTTCATTTCTCCTACTGTGGCTTTGGTTTGTGGGTGTAATTTTGTGTGCAGTAGGGTCAGTAAATTTAGTAAGATTTGCATTTTTTAAAAAAAAATATATCTTCAAACATATTGTGAAACAAATGAAGTAAGTCCTGTATCCAATATATAACACTGGCATAAAAAAAATCAACACATACTACAAATGCTTAATTTTCACATGACAGAAAAAAGTAAAAATATACTTGGTATTTGTTTTTGTTGGAAACACAATGAATAAGACAGAACTTCCCAACAGCCTTAAAAGTGCCTGTTTAGAAAATGTCACTGTCTCAATTATGCAGCATTCAATTGTGGAATTACACGTGTTCTCAAAAAGATATTTCTTAAAGTAGTCAAACATTTTCCAGTGTGGTTTTTCACCTTAGTTTTCCAATTATCTTCTTTATTCAACTGCGTGTGGTAAGGAAACCCCAGAATGACACCCTGTTCTAGAAGTCGAAACTGGACTCTGCTGTGAATTGCCGAAAGGGAAGCATCATGGTAAATCTACAAATTGCAGCCTCCCAGCTGATCCTGTTTGCTGCCTTTGTTCTTTCTCACACTTCTTCCAGTCTCACACTGGAGAGATACAGCAGGTGTTAAATGTTTAACAAGTCTCAGGATCACACCTGGACCAAAGAATCCCCCTCTACCTTTTAAGGTTGTCTCTTAACTAGCGGGCAACAGTAGTTTGTGGGAGAAGCTTCTGTCAGTGAGGGAACTGAGGCTTTATTTAATGAGAATTTCCACTGATTCTGTTCTTCCAAATCAAATAAGCCTTTGGGTCTGAGGAACAGCACAAGTAACCCAGTGCACAAATGCTAAAATAGCCAGTTAATTCCTTTTCTAAATTGGCTGGTGGTGTTGGTTTTCCAAAAAGAGGCATATAACTTGTTATTGTCGTGTGCCTTCAAGTCGTTTCCAACTTATGGTGACCCTAAGGTGAACCTCTGATGGAGTTTTCTTTGCAAGATTTGTTAAGATGAGGTTTGCCATTGCCTTCCTGTGAGGCTGAGAGCCCATGCTCACTTAGTGGGTTTCATGACCAAGTTGGGAAAAACCCTGGCGTCCAATACTCAAACCATTATTTTCCCACCAAAATCCTGTGTGATCTGCTCTCCAATATGGGACCATTAGCAAAGGTGTTTCCTTGTTTTACTGCCCGATTTTGTCTGACCCTTGGTTAGTTGGGGGGGAGTAGTTCTGTTGGTTTTATGGTGAGATGTTGAAGGCAAGACTGACATGATAATTTGATTGTGCATGATAAACACATAGTAGGGCAGCTAAGGAGTTTATCACATAGGGAAAAATTGGAAGTTTAAAATGGTAAGAATCCGTTATTGACTCGCAATTCCACAAATGGTTTTCACACACAAAGTGCTATTATCCCATGCAGAATCCAAGATTAACCTACACTTATGTGCAAATGCATGAATAGTTTTCACATGATGTGACTAAATATGCCTCCATCCTGATAATGATTAAAGTGTGTGTATCCTGCAAAAGGGAGCAAGTGCACAAATGATTTTCACATGTAGACCGTGACAATTCTGTGTATGTGTGTGTGTGTCTCCCTGTGTCCCTGCCTTCCCTCAGCAGCTGTTCCTTTAAGAGCCCTGGCCATGGGGTAATGCTGAAACTGGAGACAGACAGACATGCACTGGAAAGAGTGAAAAAGCCTTTCCTCTGTCTCGCTTGCTCTGTCCCTGCCTTTGCCTCAATAGCTGTTTCTTTAAGAGCTCTGGCTAGGAGGGAAAGCTGAAGTGATCCCCAAACTATGCCCTTTAAGGGATTTTGGACTTCAGCTCCCAGAAGCCTCAGCCGTGTTGGCCAATAGTCTTGGATTCTGGAAGCTGAAGTCCAAAAGGGATTGCTGCTCCAGCATTTATTCACACTCCTCTCTGTCCACAAACACACACACACACCGCATCAGCTGTTTGTTTTAAGAGCTCTGGCTACCAAGAAGGGTGGGTACTTAGTTTAGGAGCTTTATAAGCAGTATTACAGTATTGCCCCGTATTGCCCTGCAGCACTGGAAGTA